ATTTTTCTCCCAATTGTGCAACTGTTTCGCTTGGGGAGCAACGGATTCTGATAAAGTAAGTTTTTATCTATTTATTCATGCGAAAATTACGTAGTTACACGAGGGGTGCAACGGAATTGCATCTTTTGGATGCTCATCCTACGGCCTATGAAAGGGTTCAACTCCCCAAACGACGGCTAACATTTCAATCTGAGCTTCTCTTGAGTGTCAATGCTGTTTTTGAACAGCTGGAGGGTGAGTAGTCACATAGTAAGGAACGAGACTCACCCTCCAGCTATTCAAAAACAGCACTGACACTCACCGGCCTGGGAGGCTCAGACTGAACCTCCACTCTTTGAGTGTGAGTGAGCTTTTAGAATACAGGCTGAAGTAGGAGATTACGTTCTGTCCCGTTAGCGCAGCTTTCAGGTTGTTGAGGGACGTTTGTTCCGCCGGTCGCCCATTTCCACTCGGCGTCAGTTCGAGTGAGAGCACGAAGTGGAGCAGTGATAGTGGGAGAAACCAAGCAGAGACTAAACTTCGCTGACGTTTTGAAGAGCGCGGGCTTGTTGGATGGAATCAATTTTCACAGAATCGGCTTGGATTCCTTTGGCGCTAAAGATATGACCATGGAAACACACTTGGAATTGTGTGGTGTTGATGTGACGACTTTCTGGAACTAGGGTTAGTTGGTAGTAAAAACGGCCGCCCCGTTCAAGTCAGCGATGAGGTCGACATCTAAGGTTGACATGAGGTGCTTTTCTCTTCCGATTGCCTTGTTAATTGGCTTCACGCATGTCAACACATATACGTATTTTGTCTGATTTCTTGGGTACCACCACAATAGGACATACCCATGGCGTTGGCCCGTCAACGGCTTGAATGATGTCGAGCTGTTGGAGGCGTTTCAGTTCTTGCTCAACGTCTTTGCGTACGTGGAAAGGAATGCGACGTTGTGGCTGTTCCTTTGGTGTTGCGGTGTTCAAGATATGGAGCTTGATTTCTTTTCCTTTAACCTGGCCAATGCCATCAAACAAATGAGGGAAGGCGTGGTGGAAGGTTTGAACAGACATGGTGGAATTAACGTTAAGGGTTAATAGGTTGAGTTGTTGAGCGGTAGTGCAACTGAAAAGATTGCCACTGTCGCCTTTTGTGACGTGGAACGTAGCATCAACGGTTGTGGACTTATAACGAACAGAGGTGGACCAACTTCCGAGTAAAGGTACATTGACACATGAACGACACGTCTTCCCGTTGGGACAAAGACGGTGTGTGTTCGTTGATTTTTGGAAGTTTGGGGCGGAGAATGCTGATCCGGGTGAACAGGATAGGGCTTACTACGTGAGTGAAGGGCATTGACGCTTTGGTCAGTACTGGTAGGTTGAATGTCTCTGACTGTTGGTCAGTTATCTCATCTATGCGACTGCCTTCGATGAGGCTGTAAGGTTGAGGTCCTCGAGAAGGGCACGTAGTCCATCCTTGTGGGAGGCACAGCTGAAGACAATTTGTGTGCGAATTGCTTTGTCAAAATGTCAACGTTAGCAAAATCGCAGTGTTTGGCAAGCTGTCTAAGCCGGGCATGGTAAGAATTAGCTAGGTTTTCATTCGAGCGCTGTTTCCTCTGACGAAATTGATATTTTTCGTAGACGGTGTTGACTTTCGGAACAAAATACGCGTTCAAACATTCTACGCGGCTTTTTCATAATCTTTGTCTTCACCCGTGTCTTGTAGTGTTTCAAAACTATCGTCGACTTAAATTTCGAAAGCGTCGACATAGTGTAATAGCAACGCAGTGTAATAACAACACTCTTTTCTGGGTAACATCGGTTATATTCATGTCACCAATCAAGCGTTCAAAGCGAGTAAGCCATATGGTCCAACGTAGACCAGCATTAAAGTCAAGGTAAACGTCAAACGAGGGGAATTGGAGAAAATGGGTAATGATGTAGGCATACGCGGGACTGAATTTTGTGGCGCGGCGCTGTTGATTCGTGCTTGATGAGTTGCTGGTGATCACAATGTCTGTCGTGGGATTTGCCGTTATTTCCTTGCGTTGAAGGAGCTGTTACGTTCAGTATATATCTGGATTGTAGATGTGGTGTGCGCAGTAAAGAAGCAATGGATTCGTAAACTTCGTTTTTCGTTTAGGTATTTTCGTCGCCAGATGTTGTGTTTATATTATAACCTCGAATCGAACACACGCTGACACGCACGCACTAAGTGTACTGTCATAATGTAATGTGATATTAAGAAATAACTATTTTATACAAGCATAAGGTAATTAGATTAAGATGCAATACGATACTGTATCTAAGGATGCTACACAGGTGAAACAATTGCTGTCGAGAATGTTTTGAGAAGGCCGCATCATTAAACAAATTACGATTTCTTAGAAATAGTGCTTATTGTCTGTCAGCCGGATATGACCTTTTTTCAATTCTGGGGTGATCCATGGTTTATCTCTACAGTGGATTTTGACTTTTTTTCTTGGTAAAAAGGTAACAAGGCCCAAAAGGAGTACATTATAGAATAGGTCACATTTATATCTTGGTAGGCGGTAGAGGTGATTCCAGTCCAGGGATGTAATGAACTTTCCAAGTGACTTTTATACCGAACATTTTTGTTTTACGTTTGTTGAAAAGAGCGCTTCTTGACAAAAGTTGTTTTTTAACTATAGGCCTATAGGTGTTGGATTGAATGCCGTGACAAAAGAAATGAAGACGCATCAGCGCTAACAGTCACACAACGACAATGTGAAAAAGCTAACATAAATTATCAAAATTATAGGAGGCCCAATAATTTAAAATTCAATAAAATTTCATTGTGTTACCGTGATAATATCCTACCAACTGTTTTTGTAGCCATAGGTGTGAATTTAAACCATGCGATGCTCAATCTCTAATTCGCAGTGGCGTAAAGGTCCTTACAGACCGGACGCGATTCGACAACGCGACGCAAATTTTCAGTTTTTAGAAACAAATAAAACTGTCAACGGATTAAAATTTTAAAAGATATGCAGACTAAATAGTTAAAGTTGCTTAAGTGGTTCTGAATATTTGAAAACCATAGAAAAATATTGAAGTTAAATGTCATTGAAAATTCGCGTCATGCATGCTCATTTCACAACCAAAATATCATGGCAAAACAACATCATAGTCGAAACAAAAAAATTATAGCTGAGAAAACTTTACTGTGAAACATACTCGAACAACATTACTGTGAAAAAATAATTTTAAAAAACAAATACAAAAGTAGAAAGAACTTTTGCTAATTTGCCGATAAATTTGGTGGTACAATTCCTATGGCGAATCTGATTGGTCGAAAAAGTAAACAAACTTGCGTGAGCTTTCAATAATCCGAGGGAAGTAAGTGAAACACGAAATTACCAAATCAGAAGCATGAAAAGTTCGAAAATAGACAAAAAAGCATCAAAATATACTAAATGAAACTACTTTAAAAAACTGTCAGTTTTGCTAACATTATATATATTTTTTTTTCAATTCCCAAATATTGATGTTTTTTCAACCTTTTCGTGCCTTTTTGATACAAATATCAAACTTTGAACTCCCCCCGGATTATTAAAAGCTCACCCAAGTTTCTTTACTTTTTAAACCAATCAGATTCGCCATAGGAATCGCATTTTGCCCCAGCATCGTGCCACAACTGTTTATAGACAAATTAGCAAACGTTTTGCACATTTTTTCTACTTTTGTATTTTGTTTCATATTTATGTATTTGAATATTTTTTCATTGTAATGTTGTTCGAGTGTCAAAGTTTTCTCAGCTATAATTTATGTTGTTTTGCCATAATATTTTGGTTGTGAAATGAGCATATATGTGTATATTTGCAATGGAGTTACCTTCCTTCCCCAATATAAAGACTTATACGTCACTGCACCACTGCGAATCAGGGATTGAGCATCGCATGGTTTAAATTCACACCTATAAATGGCTACAAAAAACAGTTGGTAGAATATTTTCACGGCAACACAAAGAAATTTTATTGAATTTTAAACTATTTTAGTCATTTTTTTGTGGCGTAGCCAGAAACATATTTTTGGAGGGGCGAAGCGAAAACCAAAGGCATGGCTTATGTTCCGGGCATGTTTCCTCGGAACAAGTGGAGTCCGTGAAATGCGATTTCAAGCAGTTTGAGGTGACATTTTGGAGAATTCCAATGATTATAAAGTACATCAAAGACATTAATTTTATGATCTCAAAAACGTACCTTTACCCAGACATTTGTTTTCGGAAATAAATCAATTGGGAAAGTCACCTTGGAAAACTGGAGAATGGATCCTTGTCACCTTATTTCCCCTCTATAATGCTGGGAGGAAAAAACCCAATTTCATTTTGATCGGAATGTTGCACTTAGGATGGTTTTTGTGGCGATTTGGGGAGAGGGGGAAGGAGCGGTGACCACTGGGCGGTGACCCCTAAACTGCGCCACTGCTTACGATTCTGCGACTTTAAACTCAACCTTTTACGATTCTGCTCGACCAACAAACATACAGTATATATTATATTAAGTGAACGTAAGGAAACCCTAAACTTAAGTTCGCATTTATGATCGATGTTGATGATAATGGATAGCTAGATCTTTCAGTGCTAAACTGCTTTTCTCACCGATAGTGGTTCAGTATTACAACAGTAGGAAGTAAAAACTAAACTAACCGCTTTATAGTTCTGATACTGCATAGCTCTATCAGTTCTAAATTGAATTTGGAGGTCCATTGTGTTTGGTTGAGTCAGGGACTCTGAAAGAACTGCATGTACTTAATGCATCAGTCAATTCCAGCTGCGACCATCCCCCCCCCCGGGACAACCCCTGAGCATTGGTAAATTTTCATTTTTTTCGTGCAAATGCCCGGGGGTAGGGCCAAAAAAAGGGACAATGCCCCACCCTTGGGACGAAAAACAAAACAAATGCCCCACCCCAGGGCCGACAAATTAGTCAATTTCAAAGAATGTACTACATTAATTACATGTGTTTTAACAATGTGTATTCTATATACCCCTTTTAATTGCTCTTTTGGGAATTTACAAAAAAAGAAACAAGGAAAACTATCGTTTTTATTTCAGATGAAAACATTGACGAAAGGCTGTGACACACTTGCTTTTATTGCAGAAAGTTTTTCATTGTAAATACAAGGAAGTTTAAGCGTCGCGTTTCCGGGAACGGCAAACGGCAGATTTGAACTTTCTTCGCAAAATTTTCGTTAAACGTTTTCGTTTCATATTTTCTTTCTTGTGTCGAAAGAATAGTCATGCATTGCAGTTTTAAAACAGCAAGTTAATTTACTCTTTATTGCCTGATACCGTAATTTTTTTCTTCGCCGGCTGGCGTTTGCAGTTTGCCGTATAACACGAAGCTTAAACTCTCCACAATATGTATAATATGGACTGAAGGAAAATCGTAAACATTGATTCACACTTGAAAACCAACATTCAACAATAATATATTATATAAAATTTGTTTAACGTATTTAATAGTCTCCATTTTGGCATACAACAAAGGAAACTCGTGGCCGCGGTCTTTTCTCTGTGAGCGACAAATGCCCGGGGGTAATAACCCGATATTGACAAATGCCCAGCCCCGGGCGAAAACAAAGCTGCAAATGCACGGCCGTGGGGACAAGTAAGCGTTACAAATGCCCCACACTGTCCCGGGGGGGGGGGATGGTCGCAGCTGGAATTGACTGATGCATTACGTCAGAGGTACAGGAATGTACAGATAAAAGGCACTTGTCATTGTGGCACAAACACACTAGAGGTGTGCAAATCCGATCCGAATCCGATCCGTTCGGATTTCGGAACAAAAAATATTCATTTCGGATCGGATTGTTAAAGTTGTTTCGTAGTCGGATCGGATCGGATTTCGATATTCAAAATAAAATGAATTAATATCCACGACAACGCGGTTGTCGCTGCATTATTCGTTTGATACTTCAATTGGACGTCACTTTGTCAGTTTCTTGGCATGTATTTCATCCTTTTATATTTATTTGGTTAAATATTTCCACTTGAATGAGAAATTTATTTTATTAAAGGATTCTTCTGATCGGATCGGAATTCTTTATCAAAACTCGGATCGGTTTCGGATTAGATAATTTCAGATCGGATTTTAGACATTGGCCAATTGTCGGATTATAAACGTCCAATCCGGAAAAATTATTTCGACGACCTCTCGACGAGAAGCGTAGATGTTAACTAGGTCTTTCAAGATCAAGTTTATTTTTGTGGTTGTTTATTACAATGGTATCAAGATAAGGGATCGGTCATAAAGTATGTGTACTGGGGGGAGGGGGGGTTGGAGGATAAGTTGGGGTGGGGGTATGAAACAAATTATCTAACCTTTGCATGGGTAATGTGTATAGGAAACATTTCATCTCCTTCGAGGGGGGGTATTAAATATTTTCCGACGCTTTTGGGGGTGTGCCAAATTTTATGATAGAATTTTGGAATACCCTCTACCCCCCCAGTACACATACTTTATGACCGGTCTTCTGTGACCGGTCCCTAACGAAATATCTAAAGTAAGCAAAATACAATTATTGGGACAACATACGCACACAACATACATACGTGATAGCGAATATCTTTTTATCTCCAAATTACGGAAAATTATCAATTAATTTAAAAATGCTTTTAGCGTTTGAGTTTTGGCAGTCCAGTACAAGTGTATAATTGTTTATAGCAGACAAGCCGTCTGTATATTTACAATATCTCTCCTTGGGAGACCAAATTCAAATGATTTTAAAAGAACCTCTTTATTCTAAATCATCGGCATGTTATCTAGATCAGTAGGTGACGGGCAGGGTTGCAAAATAATAATGTGAATTATGGCTTTTAATTTTGAAATTGGAATTTTTTTAAAATATATATGTCATTCAAAATCGGCTTCTTACTCCTATTTCCTACTGACTAGTTTGTCAGTGCCGTGACAAGAGCCCTACATATTTTTTTTTTTGGGGGGGGGGGCGAAGCAAACGGTAATGGACGTGAGATTCCAAAATTTGAAATCTAAAGTCCGGGAAATGCGATTTGAAGCATTTTGGGAGCGAAATTTTGCGGAATTCCAAGGATTATAAGGTACATCCAAGACATGATTTTTTACCAAATATTTCTCTTCAGATCTAAATGAATTGCATTAGAAAATTCAACTTCGAAAGCTGCAAGAGGACGGGAAGAGTCCGTGTCAGCTTATTTTCCTTCGGAGGGGGACGGAGAAAATCCCAATGTGATTTTAATAAGAAATTTTGCATTTAGATCATTCTACCTAATTTGCATATTGTTATTGTAAAAAAAGTAAAATAACAATCTGCAAATTGGGTATAAATGCTTGAATTAAAGCATGCGTGATAAGCATTGGTGCCAAAAAATGAAAGTTTCAGCAGCTATTTAAAGAACTTAATTAAAATTGAGTAAAGTTTCTGATATTTGGACCATTATTACAACACATAACAAATTTCTCGCCCATGAACTTAAAATGCGTTTCAAACTTTTAAATTTCGCGTGCAAGCTATTTTTAATGCTGTTAAAAAAGACTCCCCACCTGCTCTGAAATATTTATTATTACGACAGTTTATTCTACATTATAGGTACCCAGACAATCTTTTATCAAAAATTTCATGCAATGAACGGCTCTGTGAAATTGAAAGTCTCAAAATTGTCTGCCTGTTTATTTTTCAAAGTAAACCTATTTAAATGCGACCAGGGATTCAGACATGTCAGGCACAATACTTCCGTGTAAGTCTTGTAAAAGGATAGTACAAATGACGTAATTATGTTATTCGATTTCAAATTCGATTTCGAATTGTGTTATTCGATTTCAAATTGTGTTATTGGATTTCAAATTATGTTATTCGAATTCAAATTGTGTTATTCGAATAAAAGAAACATATATTGAGTGTTAGTAGCACAATAGAATTTCTATTTGAATTATGACCCTAATAACGTTTCAGAAAATAATAATTCCACATTAAAATCAACAGACACTTAACATGTTAGTTGTTGAGCGTGCTTGCCTATAGCTCTATCCAGCGAAACCAAAACGTTGTTTAAAAAAATCGGTCAAGACAATATAGCTAAAAACTATGAAAATCTATAAAAAAATTCGATCTGTTTCTAATCTATTTTTACCTTTGGCGTTGATGGCGAAATTGAGAAAAAGAAAAGCAACAATGATTTTTAACATCTTCTACTTGGCATAAACTTCGGTCAAATTTTCCCAAATACCAACACGATACAGTATGTTTACCCTCGAATCCAAACTGACTCAAAGCATTGTTGTGATTAACATGTACAAGACTACGAGTTAAATGCTGAAACAAATTCATTGAATATTTAATGAAAGAAAATAAATCCTTAGAGGAAGTTAGTGCAATGAACGATTACGGCGGTCGGTTGCTAAGGAATTTTCTTCCGGACGGCTTGCGC